GTTCAATATCGATACGAGTATCGTTGGACCCCTAATAAATAAATAAATAAATAAATATATATATATATTTTTTGTTGCAAAGAACATCCCGGAAGCAGAAATTGAGAAAGAACGTATACATACAGCAGTATGTATACGTTCTTTCTTTGATGTTCTAGTTGGTGTCTGCTTCAGTTCTTAACCAAATCAGACACAGAAACAAAGGTTCGTATGCATATAGTGTTAAATACTATTTTCATAGAAGGTAAATTAAAATAGTAGTAATTTCTCTTCAACTATAGCATCATATCCCCATTGTGTTGCTTGTATTTGATTTCTTAAACACACTTTAAAAAAATTTTTTCCCTTTTCATCTGTCTTACTGCTTTCTAATGTTTGAGTACTAACTTTTTTGCTGAGAGCACAAACACAAAACAAAACTGTTAATAAGATGGTAAGTTGGCGTGCTGTCATCAGTTTTGTTTATTCATGAGTTTATGCTCACAGTCTTGCCCTCAGATCTTCCCTCTTTCTTTCCTCCTCTGTCTCTCAGTGCTCAGTACTGACTTCATGTGCAGCTGCTAGTCATTTATTAGTCTTCCATCAGCTGTTTGCTAGCTGCTGTGTTTTGAGTTATATGTTACTGAGAGGATTTTTCTGTTTAATTAATGAACCATGGCTTTAAACTTTCCTCTTGTCTAGTAATTGACACTTAGTTATTAACATAATTTCGAGCACCCAGTCTAAGATAACCCCCCCACATACATCAAGTTCTTTTTATTATGTTTCTACAGTAGATTTGTAATTGTGTATAAAGCTCATTTTATATATTAATATCAAATATCATATTTCCGAGTTCTACTGTTTGTCCTCTCTTCCTCCCCTCACATCCAACCTGTCGACCAGATGGCCGCCCCTCCCTCAGCCTGTCTCTGTCAGAGGTTTCTTCCTGTTAAAAGCGAGTTTTTCCTTCCCACTGTCACCAAAGTGCTTGCTCATAGGTGTTCATGTGGTTGTTGGGGTTTTCTTTGTATTATTGTAGGGCCTTTACCTTACAATATCAAGTGCTTCGAGGAATCTGTTATTATGATTTGGTGTTATATAAATAGAAAAGAGTAATCCTCAGGTCTTGGTCAAACATGGATTAAGTTTTGGAAGTTTTGGATTTTGGAACTGCTCAAGATGTGTTTTAGTTTGCATAATTTGCTGCTCTAGGAAATTTCATCTCAAGCACACAATAATCAGTATACACATACAAAATATGGCAACTGAATAATTAAATAGAGCTGATGATATCGAAGATTGCGTTAAGTCGTTGTTGTTGTTGTTGTTGTTTGATAACAGCAATTTGATTACAATAATGGGCAATAATTTCTCTGCTCTAAATAAACAGATGAAAAGTGCAAACAACACAGTCGAAATGATGAGAGAACGCCTTTTTTGGTGTCAGACAAAGCTTTTAGTTCACTTTGAAAATATAGGCAATGAAATTAGAAAACTAATTACAAATGCTAGATATATGTATATATCTGTATAGATAGATACAGTATTATAGTACACAGTTTTAGTTAATCGCTTAGAAATCTATTGTAGGGTCTTTGAATTTACTGTGTGTGCACTGTTTATCTGTTTGTCTTTGGTAAAACCTATACTCTTTAAGCTGTTTACTTCTCTTTGTTTCCTGCTGTTTCAGCAGCACAGCTAGAAGCTTTGACCCCCATACTGCTTTTATTATCTGTTTTCTTTCTCCCTCTCTTCCCCTCTGTCCCATCTCCTTACTTGCCGTTCTCCTTTCTTTTCTTTTCCTTTCTCTCTGCCTCATGCTGTTTTGTGCTCTACTCTAATTTCCACTGCCTGAAACTGGAGTGAGCAAAGTCAGATAAAAACCTGAGCTTGAGGAAACAGGGGAGAGAAGTAGGGGTTGAAGGAGAGATGTTGATGGAGGGTATCTTTAAGAGGACTGAAAAGGCCAACAGCTATCAGGGAGTCACACTGAGGAGAAAGACGATATGGATCCTGTTGTGCCTCCTGTCCCCCTCTCTCTGCCTGTCTTCTCATATTTTAGCAGAAAATGTAAAGTCAGCTTAAGTGTTGAAACACAGAGAAATTTGATTCTGGGGATAGAATGAAATAGATAAACAAACACAGCAAATGTAAAACAACCAAAAGTTGTGTTAAAAAGCTCTGTGTGCCCTGTTTCATTTTACTGCTCGTATAAGTAGAGTAACAGAAATGCAGACATTAAGTGTGGAAAATCAGAGAAAAAACAAAACAAAAGGGTAATCAGTGATGATTTACTGTCTTGAAAGATTAAATATTGAGGACTGAATAATGGAGCAATGTTGAATTTTTTAAAAAAAGTATGTTTATTGCAATTTTTGTGATTACATAAAGCTCAATAATAGAAATCAAGCTTTTTTTTATATAACAACGTTTAAAAAGATAAGTAAAATATGAATGCATGCTTAGTGATGCACTGATTTTACAATGGACTGCCTGGTTCCACAGTGTCTTCTGTCAGTGCAGAAGCTACTGTCGCCAGCTCCCTTATTCACCAGGGTTGCCACAGTGGGTAG